TGAAGAATAGTCAAGTTTAGGTCATTAGTTAACCTGATATACATGAAGTACAATATTATGCATCTCTCTGCATTAATATTCAGCGGATTACATGATTTTACAATAATATATTGAGAAAATGGTATATGTGTGTGCGTGTTTGTTTTTTAGGTTACTGATAAAAACTAGTTTATAGCTTCTTCTGTCTTACCCCATATATATATATATATGTATTTAGAATTTATTAATCATGGCATACATATAATCATACTGTAACATGGATAGTTTACTTAAATAAAGAAATTCTACTTAGTTCAAATAAGTGAAACAAGGTATAGTAAAATTATTGAAATAATCATTCAGTCAGTAACAACGTAGAACTTCGTACGTACGTACATCAGTTCGAGTAGCAACACCATATTAGCACACAGATATAATTGTCGATTCAAATACCATAGTGGTAGAGGTATTTATTTATTATATATTTATTTATTTGAACACATAAATATTGGTACAAGAATGCGTCAAATATATATGCGCCACACAAAACAATGAGAATTTAACGGGAAGGAGAAAAAAGGAGAGAATAATAACGAAGATATTGGTGTAAGGTGGTGTAATAATAATGGTAAAAATGGGGGAACGGAAAGATGCAATCAGAAGAAATCTTTTAATTAAGGAAGACACAACCACTTTTTTATGAAGAAAGTAAAAGAAGGTTACAGCAGGATTCCCACTAGCTTCTATTCTGAGCCATATCTGATAGCACTCAAATGCCTCGGTATGGCCGAGACTGGGGTGGGTTCGCCCTCCCTCTCGAAATACTCTCACACGGTCACGCGTATAAAGCCTCTGTCAGGGAAGTCCTACTCACTGCCTTCCCGTGGCGGGGGTGTTGTTTACGAAAATGAGAGGACGAAAAGCAAATGTCCGGCGCTTTAACCGGATTCCAAACCAATGTTGCACATGGGCTCCAGTATCCTGAGGGAACAAATGGCGTATGAACCAATTTTCGGTCACCGGCTACCATGATACTGCTCCACTTTCTTGTGGGTTAGACCTTTAGGTCAAAGGTTCGGGGTGTGGCCCTCTGAGATAACCACCTGCTTCGATCTGGGTACTCGGGCAGTATCACAGCCCACACGCAAATGATGAACCCTCTATATCTATGGAAACTATTTTTCTCGCTTCGAATAACAATCGAATGATTCAAATTACTATCATTACTATTATTGTTATTATTATTGTTACTATTATTATTATTAGTACCATTATTATTATTACTACTACTACTACTACTACTACTACTACTACTACTACTATTATTATTATTATTATTATTATTATTATTATTATTATTATTATTATTATTATTATTATTATTATTATTTACTACGACATTATTCACCCTCTTTTATTCCTACTCTGTCTGTACTTATTTTTTCGACTTATACAGCAGCTCGTCCTTGGTGGAAATTCGACTCTATCTAAACGTCGAGGTAAGGATGGCAAATCAATTGATGGAGTAGTGAAACTTCATCAGTTGAGATGGCTGGGACACGTGTTACGTATGCCCAACGACCGACTGCCTCGACGTGCTATGTTCAGTGGTATAGGAGTAGGTTGGAAGAAAGCTAGGAGTGGCCAGACCAAAACATGGCACAAATTCATGAAGTCACTGACAATTGAACTGAGTCATGTTGGTACGTGTAGACTACCTGGTTGGGGACCGCGAGATGATAGCAACCGATGGTTAGAGACCCTGAATGACATGGCCCAAAATCGTTTGCAATGGCGCAGGTGCATACACTCTTTGTGTTCTCCTAAATTTCCGTCTCCTTATTCCTCCTTGTCTCTTTTTTTCTCTTCCCAAATTTATTTGACTGTATTATACTCTTTAAATAACATCTCCAAACACTAATTTTCCCGATTACTGTTTATACTCTTATTACCTCTACCACTATGGGATTTGAATCGACAAATGTATCTCTGTACTAATGTGGTGTGGCAACTCGAACTGATGTACGTACGTTCGAAGTTCTACGTTGTGACTGACTGACTGAAACGTAGAGGTAGTAAAAGTATAAGCAGTAATCACAAACATTAGGGTCTGAAGATGTTATTCAAGGAGTATAATACAGTGAAATAAATTTGGAAAGAGAAAAAGAAAAGCGACATGAAGAACTCAGAAGATTAGAATTTGGGAGAACACAGAGGTGATGCACATGCGCCATCGCACACGATTTGGAGCCATGTCATTCAAGGTCTCTAACCATCGGTTGCTATCATCTCGCTGATTCCAACCAGGTAGTCTACACCTACCAACATGGCTCAGTTCAATTGTCCGTGACTTCATGAATTTGTGCCATGTTTTGGTCTGGCCACTCCTAGCTTTCTTCCAACCTAGTCCTAAACCATCAAACATCGCACGTCGTATTGAAATAATACTTAATATTAGTAAACAATTAAACATAGAAAATACAGATAACAATACCAAGATTCGGACTTGACAGTTCCAAGTAAACTTAGCATTGAATAGAAAAGCTAATTATTATAAAATAATTCTTTGTTATATCCCAATGAGTAGAAATTTATATTACTGACGTTTCGTGATTTAATGTGAAGTCACTTCTTCCAAGTAAATAAATAAATAACCGAAATAAATTTATGCAAGTTCAAATAGTATCAAAGGTTTAGATCCACGCAAAATTGTATTCACAGACTAGGTTGAATCGGTAGTGATGTATTCCACGTTGAAGAGGCTTCTCGTGAAAACGAACACTCAAGCTACACAAAAAGACCTAATAGTCCTGTAGAGTTCAAAAATTTAAAAATTAAATCACTAATAGCAGCACATATTCTATTCAGTAACCACCAAGTCAATATTAAAAATATCAAAATAATTCAGAAAGGTTTTTTCAACTATAAAGAGAGGAGAAAAGTCGAAGCGTTTCATATAATGCAAAATCCCTTTACCCTCGATAGGACAGGACTGACTGTTCATCCAGCTTGGACTATTTATCCAGGACAAAGACCTGCTCGCACCTCTTCTTGGTGCCCTGATGTTAGTTAACCATGTCCATGAGCTAACACGGGAGGCCAAGTAGAGATCGCGTTAACCACCTACTTTACTTAAACCAGTGAAGATCGGGTTAATCATCCACTCTGTCTTAATATCTGATGAATGAAGTGTGTTGTATGGATAAGAGTGAAAGGCAAAACTGAAAAATTTGCTTTTTGGTGCCTGGGTGGATTCACTCTGAAAAGCCCCATCAAGTCTTGCAGGGGCGGGTCACAGCGTATGAACAGGAACTGTGCCGTAACCAGTGCAAAAAGGTCGACACTAAGCTTTCTTATGTTATGGCCGTGAAGAGATCACACCATCAAATAACGATTTACAAACCGATTGATTTAACTACATGTTATTCATTCAGTGTTTCGTAACCACTGGGAAACAGTCTGGGGTCGATCGCATCTAAGCTTATGTGTATACTATGAAGTGTATAGGCTTCCATCTATGCCTTCTATATATACATGTAACGCATACTTGCGTCAGTATAACATCCCACACTGGTGTATTTATTATAGCTCTAAACGCTTTTGATTTGCTACAAGGTTTCTAAATGTGATAGGAAAGTGCAGATTGTTAACGTGTTCATCTGCACGATATAAATCAAATTCCCTACTCATACAAGAAATGTAACTAAGTAAATTTCTGATATGTCCATTTACTTTGCTTTCTGCAGTGCTCCAGTCACGCACTCTGCAAAAGCTCTATTCTTTTCCCAAGAAGCCTCATGACTTCTCCTGCTTAGTTTGGTGGGACAAAATAAAAAAATTGAATTGTTTATCCATAAAACCACGTTTGACACACACAATCTACACAAACACACGCTCAAACTGTAACTTTACTTTATACTTTAAATTACACATTTTTTCATACCCACCATCATACACACAAATAAGCACAATGATGTCTCGTAGAGAATCGCCTTGACCAAAAATAACACATTGACATGTTCAAACCTATTATGGTTTTGATTGAACAAGAAATATTCTGCTTCATTTCCATTATACTATTTAAACTTCTGTTAATTTGTTTCCGTTATTTATTTATACTGAAAAAGTGACTTATATTAAGTCACGAAACGTCAGAAATACAAACTGCTACTCATTCGGATATCATGAAAATATTGTTCTTTTAATATAGAATATATAAATCAGAAAAACCCTACGACTATGAGGACAGTCCTCTTTCCCTTTCAATATATTCTCATAAAGCCGAATGCTCGTATCTTCTATAGAGAAATCTTACTGCCTTCAAACAGTGAAAGCTTCAACAAAAGTCAGAAAGAGACCAGATTATATAGGCTGATATTTGATTCCTACGTAGTGATCACAATAGGATTTAGTCTGATACGCTTAAGTGTTACAATACTTCAATCTCTTTATGCACCATATCATCCAGAAAAAATAAAGCTTCCACGAACATATTATTGTCCATTCACTAGAACTGTCTATATTTGATGTCATCAGTGGTATTTGGCAATGAATCTGGTTTTTTCACACTATGGCAATCTCTAAAGATCATCTTGAATAATAACCAACTGATGCCTATATATATATATCCCCGATGGGGCTACTGCCGGTCCAAAACCCGGATGAAGGAGAGGAGGGTCGGGCATGAGGTTAGCGACCCCATCCTGTAGAAAACTAACTCGCTAAAAAACGCTAACCAGAAAAGAAAATTCAAATCATTTAAACTCTACCCTGGGAGTTAGAAGGTCTTCATTTAGAAGAGCTATGACGCCTAATGGTAAAAGCCTAGTTCCTTCGGAAGTCACGAGGCTGATGCCTCTTCTGACAACCAGAGAAACCATTAATTTAGGTACACGGAATGCTCGTAGAATGTGGGAGATCAAGAGAGTCTTCCAAATTGCTGTAGAATATATATATATATATATATATATATATATATATATATGAAAATGAATTATAACTAAACATACAAAATAACTCACTTGTAAATTTCTTTCAATTAAATATTCAATTTCAAAATCATCAACATCTTCACCAAATGGATTAATTAATGACTCTGCAACCTATTAGTAAAAATACAAATTACAAGTCGAATTAAGTTATAAAATAAACAAGTTGGATACAAATAAACTGTAGAGTTGAGAATATCAGAATCAAGAAAGAGATTGGTGGGTTTTTTTAAACCTGGAAAAAAAACTCTAAAATAAGAAACCTTGAAAAGATACCACCCTATAAACAGAGTACTTAAAACTTTGATTATTGATAGAAGAAATTCGATTCTAACATTATAAAGTATAAATGACAGTAAAACACTGTAACTATGTTTATTGGGTGGTAACAACTAAGGATCATTGTTGTTGTTTTTTAACTCTTTGTTCATAGTGAAACCTAAAAATCGAATCACTTGATTAATAAATTTCAATGAGTAACATCTAAATTAGTATTGTAAAAATGTTAAAAATAAATCACTCTATTTGATCAACTTTTCGACAAATTAGTTATGATTGAAAATATTCCATAGAAGTATTTATCACTATTAACAATAATCCAGAAAGAAACCGATTCATATTCCAATAGTTAAAATCATGAGTCAATTATTGAAATTACTAAAATCTCCACAAAACCCCTTCCGATTCACATTCATTAGGACGAAATTCTACAGTAATATTTCTACTATTATTAATTATTTATTTATTTTAACACGCAGATATTGGTACAAGGAGGCACCAAATGCATATGCGAGACACAGATCTCATTTGATATGTGTGAGGGCTGTGATACTGCTTGAGTGTTCAAACCGAAGCAGGTGGTTTTCTTAGGGGACCACTACCGGAGCCTTCAACCTGAAGGTCTGATCCACAAGGCAGTGGAGCATCGTAAGGAGATGAAGTCCCATGGTAGCCGGTGACCAACTATTGGTTCGTACCCCATCTGTTTCTTCAGGATACTGGAGTCCATGTGCACCATTGGTTTGTAATCAGGGCATTCCAACTCCCCTAGGTGGACTCCCTGTGTCCACCGACCCGGTTAAAGCGCCAGACATTCGCTTTTCGTCCTCTCAATTTCGTAAACAACACCTCCACCACGAGAAGGCAGTGAGTAGGACTTCCCTGTCGGAGGCTATATACGCGTGGCCATGTGAGAGCATTTCAGTCAGTCAGCTACAACGTAGGACCAGGCACATATGTGCATCGGTCCAGGTTGCCATACCGCGTCAGCACAACAAGATGAACACCGGATTCATAGTAGTGGTTAGGTCAAAGGTAGTAATATGTAAGAGAAAGATTGCATATAGAGATATAGTACAAGAAGAAAGAATTGGTTCGTAGAAAGAAAGATATGAAGCGATTTTAATCTCTTAGTTTAAGGGAAGACAGGGAGTGTATACACCGACGCCATTGTGATCGATTCTGAGCCATGTCACCAAGAGTCTCCAACCATTGGTTACGATAGTCACGCGGACCCCAACCAAGTAGTCTGCATCTACCAACATGGCTCAGACTAGAAGTTAGTGACTTCAAGCACTGATGCCACGTTTTGGTTTAGCCGCCCCTAACTTTCTTCCAACCATCTCCAATACCGGATAGCATTGCACGTCGTGGTAATCGGTGTTCAGGCATACGCAACACGTGGCCCAACCATCTCAGTCGATGAAGATTCATAACCTCATCAACTGATTTACCTTCATTCCCTAATACCCTGCGTCTAACCTCACTATTACTTACCCGGTGATCCCAGCAGATGCCAGCAATATTTCTGAGGCATCTGTGGTCAAATACTAATAGCTTACGAGTGTCTTCTACTCTTAATGGCCATGTTTCGCTGCCGTAAATTAAAACAGAACGGACTGCCGCGCAGTATACTCGTCCTTTTATTGATAGACGGATATCTCGCCTTCGCCAAAGGTGACGCAAGTTGGCAAAAGACAAGCGAGCTTTTCGAATCTGTGCTGAGATTTCGTCAGACACCAACCCATTAGGGCTGATCAGACTTCCAAGATAAGTGAAGTTGTCGACGCGTTCGACTACTTCACTCCCTATCCTTAGTTCAGGTGTTGACGCAGACCAGTCCTGAAGCAACAACTTGCATTTAGAGGGAGAGAAGCGCATTCCAAACATCCTGGCATGGTTGCTCAGCGCTACCAGAAGACTCTGCATTTTGTCAGCGTCTTCACCAAACAGGACTATGTCATCTGCGTATTCTAAGTCGATAAGTGGACATCCTGGATGGAGATCAATACCCCAGAACTTAGTCGACGAGAAAGTTATTTCCATCAGTAGATCTATGATGAAGTTAAACAAAAATGGGGAAAGTGGACATCCTTGACGGACACTACTTGAGGTTGCAAAAGTAGATGACAGTTCGCCATAAACTCTGACTCGACTAGTAGTGTTCGAGTAAAGAGCCTTCACAAGGTTTATGTACTTCTCGGGTACGCCTTTCAATGACAGACACCGCCACAGAATCTCGCGGTCTACCGAGTCAAATGCTGCTTTTAAGTCGAGAAAGACCACCATTGTCGGACGCCGATAAGTATGCCTGTGTTCTAGAATCTGACGAATGGTGAATATGTGGTCGATGCAGCCACGACCAGGTCTGAAGCCAGCCTGATTCTCTCGTGTTTGCAGTTCACGAGTCTTAGTTAGGCGTCTGATAATTATCGAGGCTAGTATTTTAGATATTATATTAGTTAAACTAATCCCTCTGTGTTTGTCACAGGATGATTTTGACCCTTTCTTATATATTGGGACGATAAGTGATTGTGACCAGTTAGATGGAATAACGTCTAACTCCCAGATCTTAGCTAAAATATTAGTCAACCTAATCGCTAAAATTGGACCACCATCCTTAAAGACCTCTGGAGCCAGTCCATCTGGACCAGCTGCCCTTCCTCGTTTCAGATTAACTATAGCCTTTTGAACTTCAGCAAGAGTTGGGGGACCTACTTCAATGTTCCATTCACACTGTCTGGGAATGGAGGGTAGTTGTAGAGTAGCTGAAGGCCAGCTGAACTGTTCTCTGAAATGTTCCGCCCATCGTTCTAAACGCCTGGACTGGGAGCAGATGAGAGTATCGTCTTTTTCCGATATAATCTCACACTTGACTTATTAATTCCAGTTTCTTTTATTAGCCTGTAAAGCTGTCTTGTGTTCCCTATAGTCGCCGCCTTTTCCATCTCTTTTGCTTTCGTTGCCCACCACTGCTCACGGTCGTTTCTTAGACTTTTTCTTAACCTAGATCTGATTTGTTGTCGCTCTTTATCATGTTCGGAACCTGATGGGACGAGTTTGCGAGAATCCATCAGTGTGATAGACTTTGAAGAAATCCACTGGTTCTTTGAAACTCTGTGGTTTAAGTCGCTAATAGATGTCACTGCTGCTTCCACAGCTGCTTGTATTTCATTCCAAGCAACATCTGGGTCAGCCTCGTCTTCAGAACTACCTAATCGTGATCTCAGTTGTTCCTGGAACCTACTTTTGGTTTCCTCGCTACTCAGTTCAGTTCTAATGGGTCTTTTTACTGTGGCTTTTTTGCGTCCAGTGAGGCGCAAGCAGATGCGTGCGTGAGATCATTTGGAGAGGGAGAGCGGACTCTCCCCACTCTCGGCCGTACCAGGGCATTTGGAGGCACTATTATTAAAGTTGAATATTTATATTATGGATTTAAGAAACTAATAAGATTCATTAAAGTAATGTAATCTTAAAAGTCTTATTATTTCTATTGGTTAAATACGCTTAATCTATAAAGGACGTCTGAATTGTGTAACACAAATCTAATGCATAACACGGTCAAATATGAGAAAGTTTTATTCAAAACAAAATAAATAAATAAATGTACGTAGAAGCAGTTGGATATATTAACATACAGGTATTGAAGAGTATCAACTAAACATTCATTAATTCTTACTGCTTGTTCACCACAACTTTTAAGAGCCAAAATAACATCAATGTATATGATAGTGAGTTGTTAAGACGTCTAATATATACACACCAAAACTCCAACCACATATATATATATATATATATATATATATATATATATATATATATATATATATATATATATATATATATAAAGTTATAGATATTACATATAATAATAATAATAGTGGTGAATGTTTCAGAACGAAGATTAAAGGACTGATAACTCCAGAAAATGTTTGGTGGATCAATCTCAGTCATAAACATCACTGGAAAGATTCAAACAAGCAATATAAAATGAATTAAAACTTTAACCCACTGCACAAGCTAGTAACTATCTGAATAACGAGATGGCGTTTGAAGTGAACGGTAGTGGGTTCGAGTCTCGGAGTGAATATCAACTTTGTGATGCAGGTAAATCCAACTGACAAATCCAAAACAAAACGAAACGAGCGTCCTAAATTCCACTGCTAGTCACCATCCATCTCTGCTCATAATTTATGGATTCTTATTGACATATTACTAAGTAACTAAATTACTATGTTTATAAATTCGTTATCGTTAGCTTTTCTTCAACTCACTAACCATTACGATGCAGCTTATTATTTCCAGTTTGCTGCCAATTAATTACTTACAGATTGCAATATTTATGGACCTTTTTAGCCTACTTATGTATAAGCGTGATGTTTTTATTTTATGGTATGACGTATTTCTGTACATAAACCCACATGTGGTTGAAATATAATGTAATAGAAGCTGACTGCTGACTCGCCGTTGAATTCAATGCAAGGGATAGAGAAAAGCTTGGGTGTACCGAGCCAGTAAGAGCTTAGCTTGCAAAAGGCCCAAGGTTAACTGTGAACGTCAAGTTTAGTATACTAGGGTACGGAAGAAATAGTCGACATGGAACAGGAAACAGTTTTAATCAGAAATCTGGTTAGTGACGTTTGAACGTGGTATCAATCAACGTCTAAAGACATAACACATGGAACTAACCTTCAGCCATCCAATATAGAAGAAGAAACGTAGTAAACCGAAAATTGGCACATAAATATCAACATCATGACCTTCGTATCCTTTCGATGGGTCTAAATACTGCCATGCAAGTAAACATGTACCAAAATATCCATATACAGCAATTGTTACAGTCTGAAAATTGAGGGGGAGGATGATAGGAAATGAGTAACAATATAATGACAGCACCAAAACGAAGAGATTACAATGAAAATTTTTACGAGGATAGTAACGAGTATTTGTGTACATACATAATTATAAATGAAAGTAACAATATAAACAAGTATACACGTAATATTACACTTACATAGTTAGATATGGTTAAGTCACCTGAAAAGTGTCATTACACTGTCTAGGCTGTAATAATACAATACATATAAAAGGACCTTATTGATGTTAATTAGACCTCTATCAGGCTTTACTTGAATGATGCAGTAAAACATGTAATCTATTTCATCGTTACCATTGTCTTACAAACTAGCATGATGGGTTTAGTATTTCCTTATATATATGCACATAAATATATTACTGCATATTAGAGAAAAAAACAGATGAAGATCTAGTTGAAAACAGTATTGTTCACTGATATGTGTTGTTCTTATTTCCACATTAGGAATTTTGAATAGTTTAAGCTGTAGGTGTTGGTAGATAAATACGAACTATAAGATTTCCAGTTGTGAATATTCAATACCAAGGCAACAAAAGGAAAAACAAGTTTGTTGATCGTCGTAAAAGGAAATCATAAATGGGTGCTTCTGAAAAGTAATGACTTTTAACCACATCATTATCTACGTTTGAATTTAATTTTTTTTTAAATGTATGCCAATTTGATCAGTCAAGCAATATATTATTAGACTTCAGATATGAAAGTGTTTGATTTAAGAAGTAGATGAAGTCTGATTCGATTACAAAATTTTGAAATTATTTTCCTTTTATCAACTATACATTCAATCAATTTGTACTTATTCAGATGATTTAATTACGCATTTCTAAACATGTACAATCTTTATATATGTATGACTGTTTCTATATTTGTTCATCATATCTTATTAAACGTTTGAATTATAGAAAAATTATTCACTAATTTACGCAATGATTATTAGCTACATTCATTCTAACAAACAATGTTCATCATATAAAGTAATTCATTCATGTCCTACAGACACTGTATTTTATAAGTTTAGTTTGTTGAGTCAAAATCTGTGTCCGGTAGAGACAGGTCTCTACCTCAGCACAACGGAAGATGGTCGCGCAATTTCGTGGATTGGTTGAAGTTAGACATTAACACCGTTGGATGCTGACTGACTCAGTGATCTATAGGTTAAGCGTTTGCGCGCGAGACTGAAGGCCCTGGGCTCGAACCCCGTGGGCGGAATCGTGGATGCGCACTGCTGAAGAGTCCTACTTAAGCACAAAACGGTCATGCAGTGCTTCCAGGTTTTCAATGATGATCTAACATCAATCAGTTCATGATTTCAATCAAACTATTTGAAACATACTTTTCTTAAAATATTTCGTATTAAACTTTTAATATTATACTGTCAGTGCTTGAAGTCACTAACTTCTAATCCGAGCCATGTTGGTAGATGTAGACTACTTGGTTGGGGTCCGCGTGACTATCGTAACCAATGGTTGGAGACTCTTGGTGACATGGCTCAGAATCGATCACAATGGCGTCGGTGTATACACTCTCTATCTTCCCTTAAACTAAGAGATTAAAATTGCTTCATATCTTTCCTTCTACGAACTAATTCTTTCTTCCTGTATTATTATATTCTTATTGCGATCTTTCTTTTAGATATTACCACCTCTGAATTAACTACTTTTATGAATCCGGTGTCCATCTTGTCGCGTTAATGAGGTATGGCAACTTGGACCGATGCATATATGTGCCTGGTCCTACGTTGTAGCTGACTGACTGATTGATTATACTGTCAATTGAATTTGAGTATAAAAGTGAATTAGTCTATGAAAGACATGATGAAATTAACTAACTAGGATTAAGAACAACTCCAGTCATATATATATATATATATATATATATATATATATATATATATATATATATATATATATCATTAAAACATATTAGAAGTCATAAAATCTGTTGAAAATCACAATAACAAAATAAGCAGAACTTATTGTCACAAGAAACATTAAGTAATCAATATTACAATAATGAATAACAGATTGTTAGTTGTTTAGTATAATAAATTCTATTGTGAAAACGAAGCTTTGATTAACATGGTGTAAACTTTTAGAAATATTAACTCTTTTTTTCTTTCATGTACTGAATCATCATATTAATCTAATAGAATTTCTAAGCTAAATTACATAACAGAAAAACTCATTATGTTTATGCAAGATATTAAATGTTAAAGTAAGGAAATATGTAACATATTATGAATAAAAAATTTTACATGTCGTTATTGTAGAAATTTGGAAGACTCTCTTGATCTCCCACATTCTACGAGCATTCCGTGTACCTAAATTAATGGTTTCTCTGGTTGTCAGAAGAGGCATCAGCCTCGTGACTTCCGAAGGAACTAGGCTTTTACCATTAGGCGTCATAGCTCTTCTAAATGAAGACCTTCTAACTCCCAGGGTAGAGTTTAAATGATTTGAATTTTCTTTTCTGGTTAGCGTTTTTTAGCGAGTTAGTTTTCTACAGGATGGGGTCGCTAACCTCATGCCCGACCCTCCTCTCCTTCATCCGGGTTTTGGACCGGCAGTAGCCCCAGGGGGGCTCCTGGCGGGGTCAGAGTTACTGGTAAGAAAAAATGCAACATTAATAGTGAGTCTAATTTTACATCAAATTGTCTTGAGTTAATAAAAAACTGATTAAGAGCGATTGAGTTCTGAATGTCATGTCGTAGGTTTGAGCCTTGTCTAGCGTATTCTGATTTGAGTGGCTAGATAGTGTCACTAGCGATAACACATTGAAATGTAGCTTAAAGCCAAATACATAAATAAAATAAAGCAAATTAAATCAAAACTGATTATTGTCAATTTGTTGAGCAAGACCATGGATTGATTGAATTTAGACATTAAAACCATTGAACGCTGGGTCAGTGGTTTAGAGGTTAAGCGTTCACACGTGAAACGGATGGTACTGGGTTCAAGTCCCGCATGCGGGATCGTGGATGCTCACTGCCGAGGAGTTCTATACTAGGATGAAACGGTTGTCCAGTGCTTCCAGGTTTTCAATGGTGATCAGGCTTAGATAAACTCGTAATTTTAACTGGTAAAACACTACAATCTCCACAAATACCCGTACTGAAAAGAAATAATAAACATGAACTTTAATATGATAACAAAAGCATTAATTGACTGAAGTGCGAATGGCCTACAGGAGTTTTCTCAAATCTCCAATAACATGTAATTATATTTTTAGGAGTAATTATCAAGTCAATGCGATAAATGCTCAGTAAGGCATTCATTAATTTCGGTGTAGTATTGATTTAGTATAATGCTATTGGTATTAATTCAGTATGCATTTTTGTTCAGTATAACAACATAAACCATGCATTTTTCATAGTAATTCTATGCCAAATCTACTTTTCCATTTCTCCTATTTCAGTTACATGTAATTATTATTCACTCATCAACACATGTAAATAAAAATTGGTAGCATAAACAAATGTACTCTGGTTAAAGTTGTCGTGCTTTTAGAGTATAAATAAAATCTGTTACTACAATCAGTTTTACTTTCTTTTTTGTATCGTGTAAGCTACGATTTCTTCTAACAAGTACCAGTTTTCCGCGGTTGTAGTATCAAACATTTAGAAGTTGTGTACAAAGAAGTGAATGTGCATGTTAGCAGGTTATAGATTGGATCCAAGCATAATCCATGCAGAATTGTGTTGGACTACGCTGACTGGTCAGCTTTCTTAGCCAAGCGGCACTAGCGGAAAATTAGAGAAGACTGTAGAATCTTCTGTAAAATTATAAACACATTAACTTTTCTCTTAGTATGATTCATTAAGATTCAAATTAGTTTTATTTGGAATATAATCACGTATCTGTCCAAGCAGTGTTCTGAATTTGAGAACTGGTCGCGTGAAGTAGTGTCGAAGAATATTAAGTAATAAGTGTGTATTTGTGGCCGAATAACGAAAGATTAAACAATGTAGAAAATGATGTAGAGGATATGCAGAAACCCCACCAGGACAGTTAGTTAGTTACCGACAACGTAGAACTTCGCACGTTCGTATATCAGTTCGACTTGCCATACCATATTAGCACACAGATATAATTGTCCAATCAAATACCATAGTGGTAGAGGTAGTAAAATTATAAGCAGTAATCACAAACATTAGGGTTTGAAGATGTTATACAGTGTATAATACAGTGAAATAAATTTGGAAAGAGAAAGAACGGCCATGAAGAATTTAGAAAATTAGAATTTGGGAGAACACAAAGAGTTGTTGCACCTGCACCATTGCAAACGATTTCGAGCCATGTCATTCAAGGTCTCTAACCATCTGAACAAGGGCAACAGGACAGATTAAAAGAAAAGATCACTTTTACAATCCGTTAAGAGTTGATGCTGCTGTCCGGTGGTGCAATAAAAGATCTTCCACTAAACCATCTACTTGAGGGAGTTGATCAACACTCAAAAAATATAGGTTTGCGGACTAACTGTGAACAGTGAGTAGATATTGCTGAATAATTGTTTTTATAACTGTTATATCTTAAAAGTTGATTTCTCGATATACCGCGAATAACTGAGCACTAGAACACCGAAACCCTTCCAAGTCGCGGTAAGAAGACAGAAGACTAACGAAAGGAATATTATTCCAAACAGTGTCAATCATAGTACAAAATTGTCAGGTATTTATAGTTTTTAGTGAGAACGAAATCATCATTACAGTCTTCCAATCTGCATACAGGGGGTTATTAGCATTATCCAATCGGGAAGCTACACGTTGGAATTCTAGAATATTCTTCCGAAAGGTGATTGGATGAGACGTCTTCGGCTCCTTCTGAGCCTCTTACAGCTTCCTCGAGTTCACCGGTGGTCCGTCATTACACCTCCCCCCTTTAAAGTCCGTTGTGTGAGATTTTTTTCTTGGATCCACCTGAAGCTTGGGTGTCGCATTCCTCTTGTGGTCCATTACTCTCGAGGGTTGTAC